GCTAGGTTGCATTCCGCTGCGCGATGCCATGCCTTCAGCTGAAGCTGTGATATGCAGTGCTTAAGTGCCACGTCGTGCTATGCCATGCTACGCTTTGATCTTCAACGCCATGCTATGCAATGTTATGTTCGGGGCCGCTGTGCGATGCCATGCTTTGCGTTGCAAAGCGTTGTGATGCAATTCTTCACTACGCCACGCCACGCCATGCTGTGACATACTTCGCTTTGCGGTGCTCTTCTACGCCATGCCATGCCGTGCTCTACAATGCATCGCGTACCCTTTCGGGATCATTGCCATGCTCGACATCCGACTGTGCGAGTAGAGAGGGGATCTACGCCATGGTAAGGGATGGGAGGGAGGGGTAGGATGTCAGATATGACACGAGCGCACCTAGTTGTCCTTCCTCCCCCTACCTCATCACTCCTCTTCCTCCTCCACCCCTCTGCTCCTCCTCCTCTTTATCCTCCTCCTCCTCCTCACCCCTCATCCTCCCCCCTCTCCTCCTCTCGCCTTATTCTACCCCGCCTCCTCCTCCTCCTCCTCCTCCTCCTTTCTCCTCCTTCCTCCTCCTCCTTCTTCCTCCTCCTCCTGCTCTTCCTCCTTCCTCCTCCTTCTCCTCCTTTTCTCCTGCTCCTTCCTCATCCTCCTCCTCCTTGCTCCTCCTCCTCCTCCTCCTCCTCCCGCTTCCTCGCTTCCTCCCCCTTCTGCCGTGGCCATTTCCTGTCAGCCCAGTCCGCCGCGGCCCGCCAGGGCAGGGGCCAAAGTCCGCCCCTGCCCCGGAGCGGAGACCGGCGCCACAGCGCGGCCAGCGGTGGAGGATGGTCGGCCGCCCAGGGTACCGACCGATGAGCGGCCTCGCAGAGGACTCGAAGAAGAGCGAAATGAACGGGAGGAGGAGGAGGAGGAGGAGGAGGAGGAGGAGGAGGAGGAGGAGGAGGAGGAGCAGGAGGAGGAGCAGGAGGAGGAGCAGGAGGAGGAGGAGGAGGAGGAGGAGTAGGAGGAGGAGGAGGAGGAGGAGGAGGAGGATCCCTGGTGGCGGCTCCATTTTTTTCGAGCTGGGCGTTTTCGCTCCACGTCAGGGCCCCGGGGCCCTCACAGATCGATCCGGCTCGCAGAATGACGTAGACAGCTTGGGTCCTCCGGTCGTGATTTTTCACGGTGATCAATTTTTTCGAGACGTCAGATCTCAGGCATAGTGGGGGCGCTCGTTGAGGAATGTGCGCAGGAGGCTTCAGACCCTGGGGGATCCCTTACAGTGGGGGTGCGCATCAAGAAGCCATATGCTTTTCGTCAGGGTGCCCCGGGTTTCTTCGCTCCGCGCGCTGCGCGGTGGCTTTCCGCGGCCGTCAGAGAAGCTGCTGCGTTCAGGGTGCTCTGGGTTTCCCCTTCAGGTGCACCTCGCGCGCGGGTTGTCAGGGTCGGGTTTCTTGCGAGGGTTTCTTGCGGCCGCGCCCGCATTGTAGTGGGGGCGTTCGTTAAGGAATGTGCCCAGGAGGCTTCAGACCCTGGAAGGTTCCTTGTCTGATGAGGGCGGCGGGGATTCCCATGGCCAGGCCTCAGGTGGTGTTCCACCAGCTTCCAGACCCTGGAATCCTCATCCAATGGAGCCTTATCCAGCGCACCCACCGTAAATGTTCGAAGGTCCGCGCGGATTTCTTGGACCTGCGCTGGGCACGTTGAGCGTTTCAGAGCCTCCCGCGGAGCGCAGCGACACGCCGTCCGCTCGCAGGGCACGGCGAGTCGCCGGGGCCGCCGCCGCGACACGCCAGGCAAAGGTTCCCGACCTTCTGCAGCGTGCCTTCCCTCGAGGTCGCCCGCGGGGGCGCGAAGAGAGTCGCGCACCGCGCGCCGTGGCTGGGGCCGGAGCGGCTGTCCTTCCCCAGGGGAGCGGCGTGGCGTCGCGGAGGCGCGAGGACAGCCGCGCACCGCGGGGCGCGACGCGCGACGTTGGGTGGCCTTGCGTCTTGCGAGGACGGCGAAGACTCCGCGGATGCCAGCGGGGAGGCGGACCCGCTGCGGAGCCTCACGGCCGAGCTCGGGGCGCCGCGCTGGCGCGCCGCGCGGCGCCGGGCCGCGTGCTGCAAGGCGGCCGCCGGCTCGGCGGCGGTGATGCTGGCGCTGGCCGCGCTGCTCGCGGGCCTGCAGCTGAGGGCCGGGCGCGCTGGGCGCCAGGACTCGAGGAAGAAAAGGGCGGCATCAGGATTGGGCTCCGTTTGATTCGTCTCAAGGCACCACCAATCTGAGCCCATCTGGGGCGTGCCCCAAGCCACACCCAAGACGGCCATACCCAAAAAGAGCGCCCTGAACTCCTTCAGGCATGCTCAAGAGCGTTTTAGTAGATAAGTATGTCAGCGCACACGTCTTACGCACGCCCAGCGAACCCACACGCCCGCCTTACCCACGCTGGCCGAACTTGGCCTCCCGGAGTCTCTTAACATCATCGAGCGAAGCCCAACACCACCGTAAGCCTTCGGGGCTCCGCGCGGACCTCTCGGATCGGCGCTGGGGCCCCTCCCGGGCGGCGCAGCACCTTGCGCTGGAGGCGCGCCAGGCAGGCCCCGACTTCGGATCCGCCGTGCTTTGGTCGATTTTCCGATCCCAAAAACCATTGTCGGAAATGCACCCCCGACGCTGCAAAAAGGCGTGGCGGAAACGTCCGCCTCAGAAAGCGGGGGTGGGTAGTTCCGCAGAGGCAGCGGCGGAAGCGGCCGACGACAGAGCGGAGCGGAGCTCGACGCCACAGGAGCTCGAGGGAGAAGGGCGGGAACTTCCGCCCCGCTCGCGCGACGGCCCCAGAGCGTTGCGGACCCCAAGTCGGCGGGGGGGGCTCCAGCGCCGATCCCCAGAAGTCCGCGCGGAGCTCCGAAGGCTCGTGCCCGTGCCGTTTGCCGGGGGGGCTCCTCCGAGGGCGGGCCCGTCGCCAGCGGCAGCCTGCAGGCCAGCAGCGAGCTCGACGAGGCCGCCGCGCCGCCCGACGAGCCGTTCCACCCCGAGGGCGAGGGCTTCGACACGGGCGGCGGCGCGCCCGCGGAGCCCGCGGCGGAGCCGGACCGGGGCACGCTGCACCCGGTGGACGGGGAGGACCTCGAGGACTGGACGCTGACGCCCGCGCTGACGTGGGACGAGGCCCAGGACTGGGCCTCCGTTCCCCCGCCCTTGCGCTTGCGTGTGTCGACGACGACGACCACGATCACGGCCACGACCACGACCACGACGACCACGACCACGACGAGGACGACGACGACAACCACGACGACGACGAGGACAACGACGCCAACGACGACGACGACGACGACGACGACGACGCCGACGACGCCGACGACGACGACGACGACGACGACGACGACGACGACGACGACGACGACGACGACGACGACGACGACGACGACGACGACGACGACGACGACGACGACGACGACCCGCGTTCCCCTGCTTTGTTTTCCTCGTGCTCCTGTGCTGCCGCCTGCTTGGCGACCGCTGTCTTCCCTGCTGCCCCTCCTTCCTCCTGGTTCGCGCTTGCGCTCTTGCTGCAGTGTCGTGCGGCATTCCCCGCTTGTCCAGTGGTTTGCTGCTTCTCGTCGTGAAGCCACCGGGTGGTGGTTTTCGTTGCGGGGAGAGAATCTCGGGCACCGCAGAACCCAGGAGGAAGAGGCCTCCGATGCCGCTAACTAGCCTTTCCTTTCGCTCGCGCCCCTGTTGGGCCTCCCGGGAGGCCCCTATCGCCACCGCTGGATTCGCTTCGGAATCCTGGTCACAGCGCACCCCGGAAGAGGTCCCAGGATCGGCGGCATCGGTAATCTTAGGAAGCAATAAGCTCCCCCCCCACACACCCCTTCGGAGGAAATGGCCACGCTTCCGGCACTGGGGCTGGAGCAGAAGCAATCTCCCCCGCAAGAGGTCCGCGACCCCAGTTCCCTTGGGCGGGCAGGGGGAGCAGGAGGAGGGGTCCGAGAACGGGCTTCCGATGGATCCGAGAGATTCCCACGCCAGGCGCGCAGAATTGGGGATCCTACCCGACATGGTTAAAGGGAAATGGGTTATATGTTGATTTGTTATATGTTCTCAGTGTGTATATATATACACATATGTATATGGCTGTAGAAGTGTAGGTGTATATACATATACTCTTATCTAGTTATGTATGACACTTATATCTGTGTATTCTACAATGTTAAAATGTGTTTATACATATGCATGACTACGCATGTACTCACACACATTTAAATGTATATGCAGATCTAGCCACCATCGTACCTATACATGGCATGTTTTCAATTGATCTCTCTCTATATATATATATAGCTACTGTATGTGTACATGTATATTTATATACACATCTGTGTATCGGTATGTCTATCGATCTAGCATTCGATCTATCTAACATATGCATATATAGACGGGTGAGGGCCCGGGGGGCGCTAAAACTTGTCCTCTGGGCCCTGCATGGTGCTACTGGTCCTCCTTCCGCGGCCGAGGGGGGTTTCTTTTTCGGCCCAAGAGAGCCCCACGAGCGCCGAGTAGCCCCCCAAGATGGCCCAAGATAACCGAGCGCCCCGGATTTTAAAGCACCCCCCCTCCAGATCTGAGAACTGATTATCTCGGGCCAAGACACAGTTAATCGGGGGAAAGGGGCGGCGAGGCCGAACTTCACTATCGCCGGGGAAAGTACGAATCGCAGCTGGATTTTCTTATCTTGAGTAGCAACACTATCACGAACGTGTGGCAGGGATATGGGAGTCTCACCATTTCAGCTGTCCTAATTCACGAACGTGTGGCAGGGCTATGGGATTACCACCATTTCAGCTTTCCCAAGTCTTGAAACCGTAACTTATGGTAGTAGAGACTCGCATCCTTATGTGCGAGTTCCGAGGCTCCCCGAGGAACACATCCCACTCCGACCTCCGTGCATATGAGTTGCCGGGACGAGAAATTGTAGCATCCCCCCCGAACCCCGAGCTCTATTTGTGATTTGCATGGGTATTCGGCCACCTCCCAGACGCCCAAGAAGGGCCCGAGAGCGCCCAAGATGTTCCGAGACGGCCCTCCGTAGCCACTTTGGCTCAAGCCTGTCGGGCTCTTGGACTGCGCCGCTTCTCAGCGCACATCGCACGTCGGATACCGCACCACCAGTTTTGTCCAGATGCCGATGGCGCTGCTGCTGGTACTCTGCACCCCCTTGGCTAGTGCCGTCCGCCTGAGCATCAGGAGCGAGACGGACCACAGCGCCGCCTCGCGTGCCCAGGTGCAGGCCTCGGCTGCTTCGGCGGAGGCCATGCAGTACTTCCGCAGGCTCGAGGCCGCGTCGTCCAGGAGGCCGGTGCTCGTGCCTCCGGGCGACGTCCGCAGGGCGGAGGTCTCCAGGCCTTCCAGCGAGCACCGCTCCAGCCTCCTGGGCCTGGACTCAAGCCAGGCTCGTCCTCCTCGTCCTCCTCCTCCTCCTCCTTCTCCTCCTCCTCCCTCTCTTCCTCCTCCTCCCTTTCCTCCTCAATCCCTACGGACCGCCACGGAGCCGGGACCTCCCTTCCCCTCCTCCCCTTCCTCCTCCTCCCTCTCCTCCTCCTCCTCCTCCTCCTCCTCCTCCTCCTCCTCCTCCTCCTCCTCCTCCTCCTCCTCGTCCTCCAGGCGCACAGGGTGGCGGGGGAGTTCCAGCCTTCGGCGGAGTTCCAGGCCGAGGGCGCGGTGGACGCGTCGGGGCGGCAGTCGCAGGGGTACAGCCAGGGCTCCGAGCTGCCGTGGGGCGTCGGGTCGCCACGGACCGGCGACTCGCTGCCGATCGCCCATTACTCGGCCATGCCTTTCATGGATTTCCCCAAAGAGATCGAGTACAGCCTGGAGACGGGCGACAACGTTCAGAGCTTCAGCAGCGCCTCGCAGGACGTGAAGCTCATCACGCAGGTGCTGGAGAACGTCACCAACGGCTTCTACCTTGATTCCAACGGGGGCGATGGTGAGAAGAACAGCAACACGCTCTTGCTCGAGCTCACAGGCTGGCGCGGCCTGATCTTAGAGCCCCGTGTGTACGAGTTTGTGACCTTGTGGGGCAAGTTCCGGAAGGCGTGGTTGTTTCTTGGGGCCATGTCTCCGCACGAGAACGCTACGAAGATCGGATTCGCCCAGGATGGCACGATCGACATGTTGAGCGGGCACAAGATCCACGCCTACGCTTTGCCGAGGTTTCTCGAAGAGATGGGCGGCAGGAGAAGCATCGACTTCTGGAGCCTGAGCACTGGTGGGTACGAGGCGGAGGTCCTCAACGAGACCTTGCTTAACTCGGGGAAGAACATCGAGATCGGCGTAATCCTGGTTAAGTTCGACGGCCGTCGCACTGGTCGTGGCGATCAGTCTTTTGTTCAAGCTAGGTCCAAGGATGACACTGAAGAGCTAGTCTTTGAGATCATGCACAACGCCAGCTTCAAGTACATCGGAGGTCTCGATGCGTATTGGATCAATTACGTCGAGCCGCGTTTCCACTACAAGGACGCTGTGTTCGTGAACCCCTCATACTTCCAGGTGCGGGACATCCCGACCCCGCAATCGATCAAGGCTGCACCCCCTCCCCCGCTGAGCTACCCCCTGGCCGACCACGACTGGCTCGGCTTCAGCTCCTGGGACTCGGGCTACTCCGCCGACGAGGAGGTCCAGAGGATCACGGCATACATGGAGAAGGCGAAGCGGGACGCCACTGCAGCGGAGCCAGTGGCGAAGGCCCACCGCGTGGAGCCGTCGAGGCTGGTCGGCGTCGAGTGAGCGGCGGCCTCGCAAGTGCGGGGCGGGGCTTCGCCTCCGTCCGCTCGCGGCTGCCCGCGGCGAGTGGCGCCCGCGCCCGCGGCGACGTGCGCTCGCGGCCGCCGCCGAGGGCCTCGCAGGCCGCTGCGGCCCAGCCCGCGCGGGCACCACTGCGTTTTGTTTTTGCACCGGTGCGTTTTGGCACTGGTGCGCCCTTTTGGCATTGGTGCGGTCCCGCTGGCACGGAAGCCTGGGTGAGATGTCCCAACTCTCTCTTAGGGCTCGGAAAAAGAAGAGGCCCCGAGACGACCCTACACGGCTTCATGACGGCTCACGAGGCCCCCAAGACGCTCCAAAAGGCCCCCAAGAGGACCCCCGAGAAGGTAACACATTTAATTTGTCGTAGGTTTTTGAAGGATTTTGAGGTTCTCGTTTTTTCGGGCCAAGAGCGGCCCTAGACGGCCCTGACGGCCTGAGAGGCCCCAACGATCGCCCCAAGAGGGCCCCAAGACAGCCCAAGAGGGCCCCAACGCGGCCTAAGAGGGCCCCAGGGGCTCCCAAGAGAGCCCCGACAGGGCCCCAAGAGGCCCCCAAGAGAGCCCCCAGACGGCCACAGCCCGGCAAGACGGGCCAGAAGCGCCCGACAACTGCCCAACACGGCCCCAAGACGACGCCCACCAGGGCCCAAATATGCCAAACTCGTCAATTCTCGGACCTCCAGGAGGTTCGCAACAGGCGTCCAAGAGGGCCATGAGTAGATCATCAGAAGGCGCTGTATGTATATCATGATAGTACAAATGGTGTGAAACTTGTATATGTGTGCATGCATATGTACATATATATAGAGAGAGAGAAGTATAAAACTCGATCATCAGAAGACGGTGTATGACTGTGTATGCATGTCACGAGCAGACGTATGCTGTGATACTCCACACATACACACAATTATATTCAGATGTACACGTTCGGAATACATTGTATGTGCACCATGAAAAGACGTTGGGTGTGATGCAACACATATATAGACTGTACCTGGATAAGTTCACTGTATATTACCAGAATTCGTATGATGTGACAGCATGTTACTGTACAAGTGCATGTCATCGGAGGCGCATGGCGCATGCCGCGCAAGAGCCCACGCCAGGTCTCTTGGCACACGCGAAGCCCCGTGGGGCCGTATGTGGGGTGATGTCGTTTGTTTTCTGGTCCACTTTGGCCCCGCCGCACTGCCCCAGACGTCCGCCGATGTAAGTTTGTCAGTCCGTGACCCCCAGAGGTCCCGACGGCTTCCCTGTGGGCAGTCTTGCACTCCAGGACCCTTTTGTATATATATATATATATATATATCTCTCCCGGGGCCCCACAGCGGCCCCCGAGGGCCAGAACATCGAGGAAAACCCGCGGGAGGAAGACAAGTCATGCCGTCGGGGATCTGGGTTCTTCGCCCCCTCCGACAGGACAAGGCCAGGCGCGCCGTCAAGAGCCTCGGGAGCGCGGAGAAGTTCTCGCTGCTGCGGGGCACGGGGGTGTCCGCCCAGGGGTACTACGTCGGGCAGACGCTGCCCCTGAAGAGCCTCGGGCTTCCGGCGCTCAAGATGCAGGACTCGGGAGCAACGTCGGGGGGGGGGGGGGGGATTTGCCCAAGGGGACGTTAGGCGTACGTCGGGCCTGTCCCTCTACAGGGGGAATGTTCAAAAATAGTAAAAATTATCCCGGCAAAGCAACCTAACATCGATGTGTAGGAGCATATCTGGAAGCATTCCCCTTAAGATTCGGATGAGAATCCAGTTGTAGAATTCTGCTGTTCTAGCAGTCGTAGTCGCATTCGCGATGACAGTCGCAGTGGCAACGGCAGTCGCAGTCACAGCCTCAGCCTCAGCCTGCCTCAGCCTCAGCCTCAGCCTGCCTCAGCCTCAGCCTGCCTCAGCCTCAGCCTCAGCCTGCTTCAGCCTCAGCATAAGTCTGCCTTCAGCCTCGGCCTCAGCCTCAGCCTGCCTCAGCCTCACCCTGCATCAGCCTCAGCCTCAGCCTCAGCCTGCCTCAGCATCAGCCTGCCTCAGCCTCAGCCTCAGCCTGCCTCTGCCTCTGCCTCAGCCTGCTTCAGCCTCAGCCTCAGTCTGCCGTCGGCCTCGGCCTCAGCCTCAGCCTGCCTCAGCCTCAGCCTGCATCAGCCTCAGCCTCAGCCTCAGCCTGCCTCAGCATCAGCCTGCCTCAGCCTCAGCCTCAGCCTCAGCCTGCCTCAGCCTCAGCCTCAGCCGGCTTCAGCCTCAGCCTCAGTCTGCCTGCAGCCTCGGCCTCGGCCTCAGCCTGCCTCAGCCTCAGCCTCAGCCTGCCTCAGCCTCAGCCTCAGCCTGCTTCAGCCTCAGCCTCAGTCTGCCTTCAGCCTCCGCCTCAGCCTCAGCCTGCCGCAGCCTCAGACTGCATCAGCCTCAGCCTTAGCCTCAGCCTGCCTCAGCCTCAGCCTGCATCAGCCTCAGCCTCAGCCTGCCTCAGCCTCAGCCTCAGCCTGCTTCAGCCTCAGCCTCAGTCTGCCTTCAGCCTCGGCCTCAGCCTCGGGCTGCCTCAGCCTCAGCCTGCATCAGCCTCAGCCTCAGCCTCAGCCTGCCTCAGCATCAGCCTGCCTCAGCCTCAGCCTCAGCCTGCCTCTGCCTCAGCCTCAGCCTGCTTCAGCATCAGCCTCAGTCTGCCTTCAGCCTCGGCCTCAGCCTCAGGCTGCCTCAGCCTCAGCCTGCATCAGCACAGCCTCAGCCTCAGCCTCCGCCTGCCACAGCCTCAGCCTGCCTCAGCCTCAGCCTCAGCCTGCCTCAGCCTCAGCCTGCCTCAGCCTCAGCCTCAGCCTGCTTCTGCCTCAGCATCAGTCTGCCTTCAGCCTCGGCCTCAGCCTCAGCCTGCCTCAGCCTCAGCCTGCATCAGCCTCAGCCTCAGCCTCAGCCTGCCTCAGCATCAGCCTGCCTCATCCTCAGCCTCAGCCTGCCTCAGCCTCAGCCTCAGCCTGCTTCAGCCTCAGCCTCAGTCTGCCCTCAGCCTCGGCCTCAGCCTCAGCCTGCCTCAGCCTCAGCCTGCATCAGCCTCAGCCTCAGCCTCAGCCTGCCTCAGCATCAGCCTGCCTCAGCCTCAGCCTCAGCCTGCCTATGCCTCAGCCTCAGCCTGCTTCAGCCTCAGCCTCAGTCTGCCGTCGGCCTCGGCCTCAGCCTCCGTCTGCCTCAGCCTCAGCCTGCATCAGCCTCAGCCTCAGCCTCAGCCTGCCTCAGCATCAGCCTGCCTCAGCCTCAGCCTCTGCCTGCCTCAGCCTCAGCCTCAGCTCAATCTGCTTAGCCTCGGCTTCGGTCTCAGGCCTGCTTGCCCTCAGATCGCATCAGGCCTCAGATCAGCCTCAGCCTCAGCCTCAGCCTGCCTCAGCATCAGCCTGCCTCAGCCTCAGCCTCAGCCTGCCTCAGCCTCAGCCTCAGCCTGCTTCAGCCTCAGCCTCAGGCTGCCTTCAGCCTCGGCCTCAGCCTCAGCCTGCCTCAGCCTCAGCCTGCATCAGCCTCAGCCTCAGCCTCAGCCTGCCTCAGCATCAGCCTGCTTCAGCCTCAGCCTCAGCCTGCCTCAGCCTCAGCCTCAGCCTCGGCCTGCTTCAGCCTCAGCCTCAATCTGCCTTCAGCCTCGGCTTCAGTCTCAGCCTGCCTCAGCCTCAGCCTGCATCAGCCTCAGCCTCAGCCTCAGCCTGCCTCAGCCTCAGCCTGCATCAGCCTCAGCCTGCTTCAGCCTCAGCCTCAGCCTGCCTCAGCATCAGCCTGAGTCTGCCTTCAGCTTCGGCCTCAGCCTCAGCCTGCCTCAGCCTGCCTCAGCCTCAGCATCAGCCTGCCTCAGCATTCAAAATGTGGCCAGGGAATGGAATTCTGGGAACTCGAAGAACACGAAGTGGCCTACAGTTTGCTCCGGGCATTCAAAATCATACCCAGGAATGGAGTTCTGGGAAGTCCAAGAGCACGAAGTGGCCTACAGTTTGCTCCGGGCATCCAAAATGTGGCCCGGGAATGGAGTTCTGGGAACTCGAAGACCACGAAGTGGCCTACAGTTGGCTCCGGGCATCCAAAATGCGGCCCGGGAATGGAGTTCTGGGAACTCGAAGACCACGAAGTGGCCTACAGTTGGCTCCGGGCATCCAAAATGTACGCCGGGAATGGAGTTTTGGGAACTCGAAGACCACGAAGTGGCCTACAGTTGGCTCCGGGCATTCAGAATGTGGCCCAGGAATGGAGTTCTGGGGTGTCAAGCACGAGGAATTATATGACTGTTGCGTCCGGCTATTCCGAATGTGGCCCGGGAATGGCGTTCTGGGAGGTCAAGGAGCACCAAGTGTGTGACTGTTGCATCCGGTTATTCAGAATGTGGCCTGGGAATGGTGTTCTGAGAGGTCGACGAGCACGAAGTGTGTGACTGTTGGTGAAAAACGAGCCCGGCACAGGCCCGGCCGGCAACTCCCAACGCCTGCCCGGACCCCCCTGTGGAGTGATCTGTGAGCTCTTTTGAGTCAACTAGAAACCTATCAGTCTTCGCTGTTAGGTAAAAATATGCCAAATATTTTCCTATATTTTCTGGGTTTTTGTCTTCCCCCCCACTTCCCATATTTTCCAATATTTTCCTTGGACTCGACGATTAATTGTGTCTGTGTGTTCGTTCCCCTCCTGACCGATGCTGGGCGCGCGCTGAACCTCCCACGGTGGTAAGCGCAAATCTCTCCGGCGATCAGTCCTGGCAGCCCTCTGGGCTCACGTCCTGTGCAACCTCTCCGCGAATCCTGTGCAATCCCTGGGACATGAGCTTAACCCCCCCCCCTCGCACCCCCCGCGCCGCGACACCTCCCTTCGCACGTGGACCAGAGAGGTGGCCGGCAGTCCGGCGCGACGGCCGCCCCGGACCGAGCGTGGAGAGAAGGACGAGCCACAGAGGGACGTCCCTCTTGGGCGAAATCTCCGATGGCAGGGCCGGGCCCTGAGATCCAGGCGTCCCAACTACTGCGAGCCCGGCGGCGCTTTTGCCTCTTTTCGGGCCCTCACGGAGCGGTTCCGGCTTGGAAAATGACGCAAAAATCGGAGTAGGGCTCTGGGTGTGATTTTTCAGGATGCTGCAACTTTTTCGCTACGTCGGATCTCAGGGGGGGGCCTCATCTGACAGGACCAATCGTATCAACTGAAACTCAGACCACAGGCATTCACCTTGGATGTCAACCCCGGTTGGAAGCATTACGCTGACATGGCGTGCAACCAGCGACACATATGATACTACGTTCCATTGCGACTCAT